CAGATACGGATCTTACTGAGCAGGAAGGAGACTCTAATATGGTTTGAAGGAAGAGGATTGTGCCTTGACTTACACACTTACATGCTTACATCTCAGTATCTCGAGCATACGGGCTCGAGTATAGACGTTAACACACACACACCTACACACGCATACACATACGTACACACGCGCGCTCACACAGGTACTCGAATCAAAGTAGCAGGACCAATAACAAAGATAATTGATCAAACCATTATTTATCTTCGTATGCGAGTAGGGTTTCGAAACCTTAGACGAAATAGGGTGAATACATCGCATTACATTATTTATCTTTCTAGGCCTTTGCATTTTCTTCCGCATATTTTGGTCTATATAAGAGGTAAGCTATAGCCGGATAGTCTTTTTAACCTAGTGTTAACATGAGCCTTCTACAAGAATGAATTCCAGCAATGATGATGTCCATCATATGAAGGGCGAAAGTTAAGTCTGTTTTTAGCCGAAACGAGCGAGGAGGTCTCGTGGACTTCGTCAACATGAACGTCGTATTAAAGTCAAGCGCCTGCAGTACAAAAGGATTCAGCCGTCTTGTTCTGGTGAGATCAGCCTTCTAATATCTACTTCATGCACTTTCATCGGAAATGAAAGTTTTCTCTAAAATAAGGCAAAAAAGTAAGAAATTGGTATATTGAAGGGGTTATACGAGGATATATGGTAGGGAATACCAAAGGACAGAATGAGATATATCGGCGCTATTTAGCAGACAATTGGTCAAAGGATCGACTTCATTTGTCTCTTTGACTAGTTTTAGTGTGGTGCTAAGATTGGCAAGGCTCCCTGACTATGCCGGCGAAATGTTTGGAAATGTACCAAGTACACGGTCCGACTCAGGATATTATCATGCATATTTTGGACTTCGAACTAAGCGCGTTCCTCTGGGTCTTCCTGCCAATATAACCAAGTTGCGAAAACAATGTCAAATAAATACATAAAAAGTCTAAGGTTTATTAGGCCCATGGAAATGTTGGAAATAATTTAACCATGAAGCTATGAGGACTTTATTCACTTTGAAGTGAAACGATAAAGTTTTTGTTTTATATATGATTCTTTTGGATTATCTGTCTTTTGGTATTCTGACCTCTTGGTTTTTAATCGATACACTAATCTACTGGATAGTGGAATAGCTATTTACTGATAAAGTGTGTTCTGAAAACCCTCAGTTTCTCCATAGTTTACGTGCCAACGTTCCATTCAAACTAGGATGGATAAGTTAATAAATAATTAATACACTAATTTTACTACAATAATATGCTCAGATCCTTCGATACCATCAGAGTTTAGTTAGCCTCGCTACCCAAAATTGCGATAGTGAATGCGGCGATACGAGGATATGGGTTAGATGAATGTATCAGAATAGGATATTTACCATAACTATTCATCTGATTGTTTCCCAGAGGATAGACTTAACTTTTCTCTTTAGTGAGTTGTAGTTTAGTGCTAAAAATGGCATAGCTCGATGCTGATGTCAGCGAAACGTCGTGAAATTTGTTGAGCGTAGGGTCCGACGCTGGAAATTATCATGTACACTATGGTAGAGCACCTCAGAAAATAGGACCAAGTTGCGAGACCACTCATAAACCTGTAGTTTTTCGTTACAATCGAAACCTAATTATTCTGGTTTTAAGTCCCTTAGCTTACTTTTGGCCCTATGATACTAGGTAACCCACAGTGAATTTAATAAATAGGCCCAGCGATTGTATGCAATCATATCATATTGTTTTGCATTTACCTTGATATCGTCCAGTAATTAATGATGGTTGCAGACAAATCGATAGGTATTATGAACTACCATCATGCAGACTCTAAGTCATAATAGTTAGCAGGCCTAATTGCTATATAAATGAATATGCTCATTAGATTAGGAGTAGGACAGTCACATTTTATTTAATGAATAATAAGTACATGTGAAATGTGCATAGTACCAAGTGATTTGATGGCTAGCCTAATGGATTACTAGCAGCACCAGCAAGCTAGAGTTATAGATATCACTAGCCTGCTGATTTGCGACCAAATTTCAAAGTATGGAAGCAATGACAAATGTTGAATAGAAATAAATGACTTATTCAACCTCTTTTTCCTTCTGCTGTAACTCTCTGCGTATACTTCGAAGATGTTCTTCTCGAGTAACGAGTTCTTCATCCACCAGCAGGCTCCATTTAAGTCTCCAGACCGACAATTCCTCTTGCCAAACGGCCTTCCTTATCTGCAGCCACTTGTTGAAGAGACTGACCAGATGTTCATTGAATCTCATCTTTCCATCTTCAATAAGGCCAGTCAATTTTTTGATTTCTGCTTGCATCACCTAGAAGGAAGAAGAATGATTGATATTTTGGAAAGACAGAACTTATATGTCAGCTCCACACGTGAATGCCGATGATGCAAATATGCGTGCAAGAATCGTCAGGGCGTCTTACATTCAATACATATTATTTAATCGTTTCTTGACAGCTGGCTCTTACGCACAAATCTTGCACAGATAAGTGATGAGCAATTGCTTTATTCATCCATATGCTTACACACCCTGGTTGTATACATATTTATCTCTTTTTAGAAAAATTTTGCACTGAAGTGCAATCTCCATTTGCAAATTATGCATTGTTAATCTTATCCGAGTTTGCTTTTATGACCTGGGCCACTTTTTCTTTACAATTATTCAGACAGAAATTTATTTAACTGCCAATTGATATAGTTAGTTAAAAGTTATTTTCATATTTATTCTTAATAAGCAACTATTTTTTCTGGCTATATTAAATCTCAAAGGCGTAAGTCACTAAATTTATGATACATACTCCATGTTTAACTGTAAGAAGATCAAAGTCAACATTATTTTGAGCCTCTATAATGGCATTCTAACCCTTAGGATATGATTCAATTTTAGGGGCCAATTTGACATGAAACTGATTTTGTTTGTAAAAATTCAGGTTCTATAACTCAGCTCCACAAGGTTGACAAAGTTAGGTATATGATGCATTCACATGTTAAGCATTCGGATGCCTCTCGGATTTACGTTGAGTTCAATTTATTCTAGGTTCTTAAATTACTTCACCATTAAGTACCAGTCAGTCTGTTTCATACTAGACACTATTAATCCTTTTGCCTGAAATACTTCGTTACTAATCTAACTAGGGGTAAATTATCTGGAGCCCTGTGTAGTAATATTTTGGAGCAATCTGGATCATTTTTACATTCAAATTAAATTAAGTTTCGTTTGAGGCAGTTGGCTTACCTTTCTGAATCGCTCACGTTCCTCATTCAAATCCTTAACCTTCTTTTCGTACTCAGCAAAAATTCGCTTATCATCCTCAGACCACTGCGTCTGCACCTTTCCCTGAAGAACAAAATTTGGTTTCGGGATGTCTTTCTTGAGAAGGTCTTCTTTCTTAACCTCCAGCACGCCACCCATCATTTCCTCTAGGCCACGCTCACGCCAGTTGTCCGCTGCCTCTCGGCGTCTGCGCTCGTCAGCTGCACGTGCTTCGGCCTCAGCTTCAGCCCGTTGGGTAGAGCTAAAATAGTGTTCCACCGTGATTTCACAATCTTGAACAGCAAGTACCAAAGACTCAGGCTGTTCGCTTGGCAGCCATGCATCGTCTAAGGGTTTTTTAGCTTCATCATCAAGACCGATCTCTGCATAAACGTAGCGGAGGCGATTCATGCGCTCTGAGATACGAGCAAGTTCAGCCTCCTTTCGGTGAAAGGCCTCCTCGAATTCAAGGTTAAATTTCTCCTTCAATCTGTAGATCGTATCCTAAAAGTAAATAGATACGGAACTATGTTGGTATATGAACTATACTTAAGGTATGCATATTGAAAGGAAGTAAGTTACATAAAAACTCATGATATTAACTTGAAGCAACATTTCATCTTGCTTGAAATAGTCGGTAATCTACACAAGGAGCTGAAGGAGGGTGATATGAAGCTTACTAAGCACTTGTCCGGACACGTTTACATTAGAGAGTCACAGTCGATTGAACAATGTCTTTCGTTCTTGGTTGAACTGCAAGATCTTACCTTTGTTGTAAGAAGCATCATCAGATTAGGACGAGTTTCTAGACAAAACCCTAAAAGAACACTGATTTTTACTGAATTAAAACTTCCACAACGTTTTTATTTATCATATTGGTGTCACATGACATGAAAACTTAGCAGAGTTACGCAAGTGAACCGTGTTTTTAGATATGTGACAATCTAATACAAAGGGCCACAAGAATAGTAACTATAGTCACGGGAAGGGGAAAAATTGGATGATTTCCTAAAGTTTATGAACCAAGTTCACAATAAATGCAGAGGAAAATTGGCATTTGGCTTCAAGAATTTAGTCGTAGATAGGGAGACTAGGATAGTGTGATCAAGGATTCATGGCATGACTCTTCATTTCAAGGAAAAGTTGGTTGGAATGAATTCGTGATGTTGTCTCTCTGGAAACCGAAGGAAGAAAGTCGCGTAAGGAAGATTATTGAATTGTGCGAAGAAGTCCTCAGCTCACCATTCTGTGAACCCGACGAAACTGTGCTAAGCTTTCTTCTGTACTGTGACATCCCCAGAGCAAAATTTTAAAATTTACGATATGGAGCAAAAATATAATAAACCAAGAGAAATAGGGGGCCGGCCGTAACCCTAGTCGCGTTTTTATACACCTAACATCGCGATCTTAATGAGATCTCCCTTGATTTGGTTGGCTACTTCAACCTAATTCCACATGTTTGCAAATGAGTAAAGTTAACTTCCCAAACCAGAAGTGCGTTCGGTGGCAGCTATTTCATCACACACAAAAAGCATACGATC